TGTGTTCAGAAATGGCTTCCTAACTGAAATACCTTTATTATTTCTCAGCCAACTGATGTTATGATGTTTATCTCTAACAGATGGTACGGTCCTATGATTTGACCTAGGAAAACAGCATCTCTCAGTCTCCAGCCCCACGACACTGCACAACAGACAAAGGGTCAGAGCTCAAACAGCTGCATGAGAGAGACTGCCTGTGTGTGGGGCCTGACTGCAGTTTTCTTGAATAAGCAGAAACAAATGAGAGAAAAAAGGATGAGTTGCATTGTAAATATTGCTGCACAAACAACCTGAACTGATGACGTTGCAGCTTTGTCTCATGCCTTGTCACCACTAAAGCACATACAGTGCACCCCAGAGCTGTAGTCACATTGATGTTTTCAGCTTTGATAAAGTCCTTCGGGTATCTAATGTCTCTAACTGGTAACCAGTTTGCTGCTGATGGTTGGTATGATTTACAATGCAGAGGTGAGCTGATCCAGAATCAAAAATCTGTAAGGGAAACTGATAACTGGACTGTTGCTTGACTAAACTGAATTTCACATATATTATAACACATTAATAAGGTACATTCAACAAATACCCAAAAGAGAAGTGGTCATCATAAAACCATAAATAATAGCCTTATCACGAACAACACATTAAAATGCTGCATTTCATCACCTGGTTTTCATAGAATCAGAATAATTTAGGTTGAAAAAAACCTTTAAGATCACCAAGTCCAATTGTTAACCTAGTACATACTGCCACATGAAGTATTATGCTTCTAAGCTTCCTTATAATCTGGTTTACTTTCTGGTTTTTGGTCATAGGCACACTTAATAAGGCTCTTTGAGAACATACTGAATGTTAAAAAAGACATAAGAAATAAATTGCATGCATGTTTTATCTTGTTCTAATTAAAAAATGAGGAAAATTTATATAAATATATACAAATTTATATAAGTATGTAAAGGAATGTATCCCTTATATACTGATTAATGTAGAATGCTGTGCTGATTAACGAAGAGTACTTCAAGTAGGCAGAAAATAATTTTAATGTAATTCAGAAATTTAAATAATTGCAGGTCTGAAATGAGCCACAAAATTCATCACATTAATTCTCCTGACCAAAGAAAAGATTTTTACCTCCACAACACCATTTCTGAGTTACAGCTTGTCTGGGGACCAGTACAATCTAGCTGTTACCTCAACTGTTCTTTCCTAGCCTGTGTTTCATTCAGGTAATTACTCCCACGCAAGCGTGAGCAGGTCTTTCAAAAGTAAAAATTTGCCTAAAGTTAAAAATAGACAAAGGAAAAATGTCTCTCTGAATTTAAATTCTGTACCAAAAAAGTTTGTGACTTGCTATAATATATCAAAGTAAAAATTAAACCTTATTTCTATCTTATGCTTGTCTGAAATAAAAGTATGGAGTGGTATCAGAGGCAGAATTTGCCTGGAATGCATTCAGAACATCGTCTGCCTTTGAAAGTGAATCCCTGATAAATTTTCAAGAGTAGTTATACAAGCTGTTCATATCTCTTATATTTATTACACTTAAAACATGCCATTCTAGCTCGATTTTGTCAGAAGTCATGTAAAAGTCAAGATGATTTCTGACATGTAATATAAGCTTTGTTATCTTGTCAAAAAAAAAAGTAATGACATGATTCATTCTGAGCAGCCATGCTGTCTGGTATTTATCTCCTTCTTATCATCTAGATGCTTAATGCTCTTTGATTATTCAAGTTTTCAGTTTATATTGCCTGTTTCAAAATTTCACGTTGCTTCTTTTTAAAAATGGTGCCATATTTTCACTATACTTCACAAATCCTTACCGGAAAATTCTGAAACAACTTCACTTGGATCTCTGCACAAGATGAAATTCATAGAGCTCAGCTGGTATAGAATCATTTAAATATAGATTTATCTCTGCTCTCCCTAGGTCAGTACATGTAATAATCCATTATTGCTAACGGTGTTAACACAACTCAGCATCCTAGTGAACACTAATGCAAAGATGACATTAAGTAATTTAGGTTTCTGGTTCTTCAGAACAGTTCACTGATAATTTTCCTTTCTGATTGAGTGGAAAACTAATTCCTTGACCATCACAGTGCTAATGCACTTTCGGAAACTTTTCTTACTGAATATCCAGGTTTTGTTTGTCCAAGCTTGTACATATTTTATAGAAAACAGATATTTCCCCATCATCTAGATGCATCCTTTCTGGGTAGATTCATGTGAACCTGAGTTCTCTAAATGTGTTGTTCCCAACACATTACCCCATACCACACAAAACAAGATGTGACAGGTAGACATACACATACTTTTGCAGACAGCTTGCCTACCTTTGTACCACAACCCACAGTATCCCCTGTTATAATTCAACATAAAGGCATCAGACTCAAGGATATTTTTACTAATTTCTTCCTTCAAGGTACTTTAATCTCTGCTTTCCTTAGTTCACTGATCCCTAGTACCTGAAGGTCAATATTTAAATTCTCTGTAGTGATAGTCATACACTAGGCAAAATATACAAACATTTCTCTTTGAATTTAATTTCTCCCTTCCATAACATACTATAGTTACCATTTTAAATCACCTCCTGAAGGTAAAGCAGAAATTATAATATTAATATTAACAAAAATCAATGGAACATTATTTTTTGCTTCCAGTACTTTTCAGTCTCTATAGACCCTTGTCTTTGAAATAATTAATTATGTTAATGGTATTTCTGCTGTGGTTAAAGGTCACTCTAAACCCATGTGAAAACAGTACACAGGACTGAAGGCAATTACCAGACTTTAAGTCCCCTTGTAAATATTTTCTCTATAAATGATTGGTCTACCCTCAAATATGTACAAACTATGGGAAATTATTTATTTCAAGAAACTATCTGTGCTTTTGCAATAGGGATGGTTGAGTATTATTTTAATTGATTTCTGCAAGCATCAAGGGTAAGTGCAATAATAATACAAACAAATACAACACTTAGAGTGGATATAATGAATCTGGCAACAGATATTTTGAAAAAATAATTTTCTCAAAAACATTAAAGAATGTTTAGGAGGTAATTGGCAAACATGAACGTTACAGAGTAGGAATTTGGCATCGAGTAGCTGATGCAAAACTAATGAGCATATAATCCAATTTTGCGGCTTCTTCATTTTCAATGAAGCATTGAAGGAAAACAAATAAAAAAGTATAGTCATTAAACTCACTGAAACAAATTAATTTTTTTAAGTTGTAAACTACAAAGGATACACATTATAGGCGAACTTGATTTGCCCCTTTTTCTTAAAAAAAAAAAAAAAGAAGAAAGTACCTTTTAAATTGTAAAAAGCTTCAAAAGGAAACTAGAGAGTTAATTACACTGATTTGGTACGACTTAATATGTTTGCAATTAGTAGTCTAATTTAAGGTTGCCTAGACAGAAACACGTGTGCACATAGAGTGCACACAGAGAGTGTGCCTGAGGAGTTCAGATGCATCAGGTGTGCTGTTTCTCAGGTGACCTAGACATATACCTGAGGGTGACATACCTCAGTCATACCAGAAGAATGTGTCTCTGCAGACTGTAAATGATGTCACATGTCCAGTGAGTCTGGCAGGGCAAGGCCTGAACAAATTTGTTGAAGTCTGATGCATACTAACTTTCTTGTATTGCAGAAGGAACAGAAAATTTGTGTCTCAATTCCATATTACATTATAAATTGATTTTTAATTATTCCCCATGAATTCTGATTAGCTATCTCATGAGATAGGATCTTTGAAAACGTGTGCTCTATCTTACCTATTTCTGATAACATTACTGATTCAACCTGATTTACACATTTTTATTTCTATATTTTCTAAACTATATGTTCAATTGTGAACGTCATCCACTATTCTGCTAAATTTTATACGTTAAGTTCACTAAGAGATTTTATTTCTCCTAATCATTTATGAATATGCATTAACAGTATCAAAGATAAACAGTAAATTTAGTCAACCAGCTGCCATTATTTCCTAGCAGGGGTTGGAAATTTAAATCACACATGATTTACATGTTAATAATATATTATATTAAACTGAGAAAAAGTTTTTCAAAAGAACTCTTTAACTAAAATAGTGTTGAAGATTGTGGCATTTAAAGATATGTGATATACACATATGTCAACAAATGCATTCCTATTTTACTAAAAACTGATGAATATAAAAATAAACATTTTCAAAGAAAATATCAAAATGGCATTTCAATCTGCAGCATAATCCATATAAAAAAGGTAGTAAGGAATGATGTCTTAAAAACCCCAGTGAAATAAGAATTGTTTTTATAGTTTTTATGAGTATTTATAAGTGGAACAGCTAACAGAATTCTGGAGTGGGAGGAATATATTTATAGCGTACGTTTCGATGAAAAGGCAGAGAAACTAGCTTGTCTATTACTTGCATTCAGATTCTAAATGCGATGTAATGTACTGATTTCATCAGCTTTTAGTTCGGTAATGTGTTAAGAATTATATGGTCCTTGTCAAATTGTCTTCTGATTCATTCCCATTTAGTTATGCAATTTAATGTACAAAATATGAAATAAAACCTAAAGACATGTAATATCCAAAATTTCATACCACAAAATATTTTAGCTATTAGTATCCAAGGCAAACAGGTTTGGTTTTTATGTATATTGTTTGTGAATGATCTGGAGGCTGTATTTATCATGTCAATGCTGGGCAAACAGTGCATCATTGACACAAAAGTGATAGGAAGTAGAAAACTCAGTAGCACCACCTACTATAGTTAAGTGTAGCTAACTAGAGTTTATGTGCAGCCTTATAAATGAAAACTTGCAGAAGCCAAACAGAAAAACATGGAAGAAGGTATAGTAAGACCAGGTTCATAAGAGCTTTAAAATATCTGCATATAGTGTATAATATATATAATATTTTTGTAATGCCATTGGAACAAAAATTATATGAAGAGTGCGATCAGAGTTTACAAGGTTAAACTCATCACACTGCCTCTTTCCTTTGCAGGCTGTCAACGACCAGCAGCTCACTGCTTGGAATGAACACCAATGGCTCAGATGAGTATTTCCAGTCTACAAACCATGCAGAGCAAACTTTCCGCAAAATGGAAAATTATCTGCAGCAGAAGCAGCTTTGTGATGTTCTTCTCCTAGTTGGTGACCAAAAGATTCCAGCTCACAGGTACATTTCCCAGTATTGTTTACATGGCTTCAAAGCTTAAAATTGCCAAATTAGAGCAATTTTTCCATAACCTGCTTGGTTATCATAGAATGGTTTGGGCTGGAAGGGACCTTAAAGCCCATCTAGTTCCAACCCCCTGCCATGGGCAGGGACACCTTCCACTAGACCAGGTTGCTCCAAGCTTCATCCAGCCTGGCCTTGAACAATTCCAGGGATGGGGCATCCACTGCTTCCCTGGGCAACCTTTTCCAGTGCTTCACCATCCTCTCTGGGAAGAACTTCTTCCTGACGTCCAATACAAATCTCCCCACTTTCAATTTAAACCCATTACCTCGTCCTATCACTACAGGCCCTTGTGTGTCTCCCCCCAGTCATTATGAATGAACAATTACTATAATTAGGATATTGACTAACTATGGAATAAAAGGATGTGATCAAGGTTTTATATTGATTATTTCAAATAAAATGAAATTCAAATATGGACTACTGATATTGTCTATCTTGCCTTCTTGCTGTTGTCAAACTATAGCGAAAACCATGAAGAAAATCTGCTCAAACAGATGCTCACTATGGGAGAAAATGAAATTACTAGTTACTCTTTTAACTTTTTTATTGCTCAATGCCATAAGATTTGAAACCTATGCTGAAGATGTTGTTTCTATTGTACACACAATTAATCATATAAAAATACCGAATTTCATATTTGCTGTTGAGATCATGAAGTAATTTGCAGTCCTCCTAAAATGCTTCTATTTCAAGGTTGGTTCTCAGTGCGGTGTCTGATTATTTTGCTGCAATGTTTACTAATGATGTACGTGAAGCAAAACAAGAGGAGATCAAGATGGAGGGAGTAGACCCTGATGCACTGAAAGCTTTGGTGCGCTATGCCTACACAGGTAATTCTCCTACATTACCCACATCATTGTTGTAAAGGAAGATAAAATCTATTCAATGCATACATAATTGTTGCCTCTTCTGTTTCATATCAGTACATAAATACATGCATAAATCATTCATAGGTGATGTAAACCTTTCTCTAGCAAGGATGAAAATAAATATTGCTGATTATATAACAATTTATTCTAGAAAATATGCAGCAAAGTTAACATATGAATTTGTCTCCTACTAGATACAAATTATTTTTAGGCATTTTAATGAGAGAATATTTTGCTTGTTGCCTAACTTCATATCGACACAGAAGAGTGTACTCTTCTCTCTCTCCTCAGTAACTATAGAAATGGTCTGCCAGGGGTGCCAGTTATTTTGGCTCACTCGAGGCTCATGAATAGGAATAATCAAAGGAAAACAGGAATATGATCACACCCACGAGTAGAGCAACTTTTATCGTGAGAAAGTGCTGCCATATTCTGAAAAAGGTTACTTACGTTCTCTTGAAAAAATAGAGATTTTATCTTAATGAAATGAAATATTTTAATGCGCTTTCTATATATATTTTCATTGTTTTCTCCCATTTTCAACATTTACCCTTGTATTGCTAGATCTGAAACGATTGAACCAAATAGCCCAAAAGGCCAAATCAGAGACCTGTGAAATGTCTTTCATCTGCTCTGTAGTGAACAGGGAAAAATGCTGTAGAACATGACCACTATGTTGGTATATATTACAGTTAGAAACATCCAGACCATTCAAACCCGTGCAGATTCTGGTAGTCTGCACTTTCTGCTATTTGGCAAGCCCCTCAATGCAGATGGCAGCTAATCCAGCCAGAAAGGTAAAAGGGAAACTCTTTTCCCCCTACCAAGCTGTGCAGTTCTGTGACAAAAAAAAAAAAAAAAGCCCAAATCTCAAAGGGATAAAATTTCTCTCCAGGAAGTGAAAACACTTAGCTGACCACAACAACAACTTTCTGAATTTATGAACATTTGCTCATAAACTGATCCATCCCCTCAGCTAACAGCTATTGTCAAAACCATTTGCTAGATCCTTGTCATTTGATGTCCCACACAGGACATAATTGTTTGCTTTTGAATGGAATAATGCAAATTCGATGCTGAGTCAGAAAGGTTGGAAGATGTATCAAAGGTATCTTGATATTTTCATAGTATTTTAAAAGGACTTAGAATACATTTTTTAAAAAGTAAAACAAAGACACTGTCATATTCACCATGTTGGCATTAGCATAAATGTAAAAAAAGGAGACTTCTTCACTTGCTAGGTCAGGCACTTCATAAATCTGGACTGTTGCATAAAGAGAGAAATCTCGAGAAGGTCAAGCAATCTGCAACCCCAATCAGAAACATACGTTTCTATACACGAAATAGACCCCATTTCTGGGCACAAACAAAGGGGTAAATACAAGCGGCGAGAGGGAATGCTGCACAACATGTATAATGCATCACATTCAGTGATGTGACACTGAATTAGCATACGTTACCTGAGGAAACAGATTAGTACAAGTGCAAAGAAGCTGGGTGGTAGGCTGCTGATTATCCACATATATCTCAAAATCGTCCCACTTGATTAAATTTCACCTCCTTTAGTTTTCTTAATGCAAACCATACAAAAGAACACATATAAGACTACAAAAGCAAACACCAGACTATGAAATAGTGTGTTTGTTTGTGAAATCAGGATTCCCTCTTTGCTTTGAGACATTATATTGCAATCTTTATTCACGAGAACATGTACCAATTTTGTTATATACATTCAGTAACTACACTGCGTTGTACTGTGAAACCCAAACATTGCCCTATTCTGCACCCTGCCAGCCCTTCCTCATTTCTTACAGAAGTTGGAAGGTATTATTTAACTTACAAAACAAGGGACATCAGGAAGAGATGGGGTTGTGCTAAGGTAAGACTGCTGAAGACTGTTATGGAAAACTAAATTTTCCCACTGCCTCTGTCATAAGTTTTCATGTGATAACAACCAGGCCTCTAAACTGAGTGCTACTTTTTTCCTAGATAATGAAATATAACTATGACTTTCACAGATGAGAGATATAACTTTCAGAATTGTTTACACATTCTACTGAAATAAATCAGAAGTGAACCTTGGACAAAAAACCAAATTTCCATTCTGAGTATAATTTTCACTGTAATCTCTCAATACCACCCTTCTCCCTGCGTTAAATGGAGATGGTGTAAATCATGCTTTCACAGAATAAGCTGGAAAATAAACTAATGTTTCTAAGACAATTGGATGTTGTAATGATGAATGGAAAATGCAGTCAAAAAAAAAAAAGCATAGTTCTTTTTTTCAGAACAGGATGTAAGTGCTGTGTATCAGCTAGGGAATTGAGCCATCCACTGATGAACAAGAATTGAAGAATCTTAAATTAACACCTTCCAGTCTATCTAAGAACCTAAGAAAATTCTCACATCATGGAATAATTTGATTAAAAACTGTAATGCACAAGTAAATGATGGAGTTTCAGGTTTCCTGCACGCAGTGCTGGCATATCCTAGTTTGGATACTGAAGTTCTTGTGTGTAATATAAACTTATGATATATTTATTTTTATGAATGAATATATGAATTTTAGGAAAGATTTTTCTTTAATCACATTTTTTTTTTAGGCATAATCAGATCTAATACTGTTAAAGCTCCAATAAAAATATTCCAATTATTGTATTAAAAATACACCAAATCCATTAAGACTGTTAAAACATGTTTAGAAAATCCTTCAGCAAGAAAGGAAAGTGAATTTGTGAATCATGAGACATTTCAAAATCTTTCAGAGGAGAAAAATTCAGGAGTGGGAAGCTTTCAGTTAATAAAAATGCAAAGAATATGACTGAAAACTCTTTTTTTTCCTCCCTATATGCAAACTGCACAGGTATTCTAGAGTTAAAGGAAGACACTATAGAAAGTTTGCTAGCTGCTGCTTGTCTTCTCCAGCTATCCCAGGTTATTGAGGTATGCTGCAACTTCCTCATGAAGCAGCTCCATCCTTCCAACTGCCTGGGGATCCGCTCTTTTGGAGATGCTCAGGGCTGCACAGAGCTCCTGAAGGTGGCACACACATACACTATGGTAAGATGGACAACGTAACTGCTTTGCAGTTATAATGTTAAGAGAAAATGTGAACACCCTCCTGAAAAACCCATGGTCTTTGGTGAAGCAGGGCCAGCTGAACTCCCTCAGGGCTGCTGCTCTCCCCAGGACTGCTGCAGCAGCTCTGCTCTTCCTACGCTGGCAGGGTCAGGTCTGTAAAGTCCCTGACACAGGGATATCTCTGCCCAACTCAGTCTCCAAAAGGGATATTTAAGAGCTGTGACTGCTACAGAGGCATTGGAAGGAGGGAAAATCATGGTCAGAAAAACAAATATTCAGTTCTGTTGTTTCCTGTTTCAGAGTTTCGCTTTGTAGAAAGACGTACTTATTGAACTTAAATTTGCAGTGCGATTGATATGTATTTCTTCCAAAAAATGTAATAGGGCTTTAACATGGCTAATGTCAAGGGGCAAATAACACAAAGAAAATTCTAAAGCTGATTTTAAGGTGAGGCACCCATAAAAAGAGCCAAAATAAAGAATGGAAAAGATTTGGAGTGCTAAAAAAGAAGAACATCCCTAACTGGAGCATAATCCTCCTCTGGCTTAAAGCAAGAAATGAATATTCAGAGCGTGGGAAAGGGAGAAGCAAGATAGCTTGCTGTGAAATGAAATCAAGGGATAAATATTCAGGGCAACAAGATACGCTATAGCAACTTTAAACACAAAAAGAATAGCAACTGCTACGGCTAAATAGATATAAAAAGAAGCACTTGTTAGGAGACACATGGCAGCTTTATCCTTGAAATATTAGTGTTGTATGTCAAAACCAGTTTAGAGTCTTCATAATGCTGAGAGCATTCCAGCAAGAGACTGTACACTTCCACATGCTGAAATAAATGAGAGTGGCATGTGCAGATTGAGGGCACTGGTTGTGCTCCTTCCTGTCATACTAATGAATGGTGTGTTTAGCAACAATATAGATTCCTTTTATATTTTAAAGTTTGAAAAAGGGCATTTAAGATAGAGGTTCACACAGCCTCTATAAAATAGTGTTGTCCTTGTTGCTCCACACCATTTTATACCCTGCCAAAATCATAACTTCCCCCTCCACTGTGACATATGATTTTATGGTGTTATACAATAAGAGAGCTTTTTTTTTTTAACCATTTGAATCCTCGATTCTTCCCCAGGAGTGAGACTTTTACTAATTTTTAAAACTGTGTGTCACAGACATGACAGTTGGGTCTTTAAGAACACTGCCTAATGTGAAGGATCATGATGAATCTGAGACTCAGCAGTGCTGTGCACAGAGGCTTTACACTATGTCTTCCTGAAAATAACCATGAGCATTTCCACCTTTAAAACCACCTCCTGTATCTTGCATGCAACACAGAATGAGAATGTTGCCATGACAGAGAACCTTGCGTGTCATGAAACCACCTACCACCGACAATTTAGAGACAGAAGAGAAAAAATACACACCTCTTTAAAATAACCTTAAATAAAGCTCTATTTTAAACTGTTGAAGTGATATTAAAAAAAAAAAACAAAACAACTGTGGAGAATTAGGGATGAAAACAATGCATACATACACGTGTTGTGCAAGAGGATAAATAAAACATTCTGAGTATTTCATGCTAACCTTAACCACTTGGAAATATGTAGCTTAAGGGAAAGACTATAAAGTTGCACTGTAAATACAGAGACTGTTCAAATGAACTAGTAGTATTTAAACTTTTTCAGAAGATAATCAGCTATAAACATCATATCCATGCAATAAAAACAGACACAATGGAGACCCTCCCTTTCAATTACTTCAGTCATTGATGCAAAGTATTAACAGTTTCCTGCTGGGTATCTTTTCGTGCAGATAGAGCTTGTTCTGATAAACATCTTGTGCTATATTTGTAACTAAATGTGGTCTGGCCTTCCTGTTTCTATTCTCTGAATGTCACAAAATATTAAAGCAGGATACGGATAACAGAGCAAAGTTAACATCTCCTTTAATCACTGATACCTCTATATTTACATCCTTCATACTCTTGAAAAGAGTTACAGAAAGCTAAGAAACTACTGAAAACAAATAATACAAATATCAGTTACTTTCATCTGCCTTCAGTCGGGTTCCCAATTAAGATATATTACTTCCAGGAACATAAATGGAAATTAATATTTCACATGCAGACATTAATTCCTACATGCATTTCTTTGCAAGTAGCAGAGTGTTGTGGTTTAATCCCAACCAGCAACTCAGTACCACACAGCCGCTTGCTCGGCCCTCCCTGTGGGGGAGGAGAATCAGAGGAAAAGACAAGGAAACTGTGGGTTGAGTTACAAAATATCTAATAATTGAAAAGAAAAGAAATAAAATAATGACACTAATAATACTAACAATACTAATATTACTACTACTGATACGTAATGAAAGTAAAACAAATGATACAACTGCTCAGCACCCGCCAACCGAGGCTCCACCTGTCCCTGAGTAGCAAGAGCCAGAGAGAAAGATTGTACCAGAGCGAGTCCCAACAAGCAAGAGAGAGCAGCCTAGAGAGAGAGAGACCACCCCCCAATTTATATACTGAGCATGAGATTTTATGGAATTAAATGCTTCTTTGGTCAGTTTGGTCAGCTATCTGGGCTGTGACCCTCCCAGCTTCTTATAGAGAAGCAGTTGGACACACAGATACAAGAAACTGATAAAGCCCTTGACTTGCTATAAACATTACTTAGCAACAACTGAAAACATGAGTGTGTTATTAATAATCTTCTCAGCATAAATCCGAAACACAGCCTCACGCTAGCTACTGTGAAGAAAATTAACTCTGTCTCAACTAAAACCAGCACACACAGAAAACCCATCTCTCTCAACAAAATTTCTTTTTTCCTTGGGAATCAGCACAAACAAGCATACTTAACATATTTCAATATCAGTTCTACTATTGTTGTAACTCAACTGTACTCTCTCTCTATATATATTTTTAATAATTATTTGAAAGGTTCTAGGGATTTAATATTTGTGGCTATTCCTGGAGCTGATAGGTTTTATCATAGCAATAGCTGAAAGTCTGAGACCCCTTGGTTGGAACTTCTGCAATTTTCAATTGCCCAAAAGGTACTGTTAGGAAAGTGAGTTTAATTTCCCTTCTTATATTTTGTGCTACTAAGAGTGGAGACATACAGTGAACACCTGGCACAATTTGTTGCAAACGGATTGGAAGGTTTAAATATAATTTGCTTAAACTTTTGAATCAGACTGTAACACAAGTTCCACTGTTCATTTGAATGCCCACTTTGCATTATATTGTCACATACATGCACATTATATCGTCAAATTGTGTTTCTGTTAAACTGAAGTTTTAAGACCACACTGATAGACAAAACTTCCAGAGGCAAATTCTTAAGACAAGAAATACTGACAAGAAGCCTGACAAACACATGTGTAAGCGTGACAGTGTGAAGATGAGCATTATTCATTTCTGAAAGAATAAAACAGCGAAGAGCAACCAAAATCTCAATTAAATTATAGAAGGAGATTCAGTGATCTGCAGGATCTATATATATTGCATTTCCCTATGCTGTAGAACAGGAATGAAATATACGCAAAACCTACATTATCTAACAAAATGTTATTTCAAAGTGTGAAAATCGTCAGCGCCTTGAATTTTTTTTTTTTTCTTTTTAGGAACACTTCACAGAAGTAATAAAAAACCAGGAATTTCTTTTGCTCCCTGCCAATGAAATTGCAAAGCTCTTGTCTAGCGATGACATCAATGTTCCAGATGAAGAAGCCATATTCCAGGCGTTAATGATGTGGGTGAGGCACGATTTGCAAAACCGGCAACGAGATTTAGGAATGCTTCTGTCTTATATCAGACTGCCTCTACTTCCACCCCAGGTAGGAATGTGAAGGGCTTGATTGCTTCAAGCAACATTTAGACAGAGAAAAGAATTCTGTGGAAAGGTTCTGGTTTTGACTGCCATTTTTAATGTTGGGGTTTTTTTGTTTGTTTGTTTTCAGCGAGTGTTCTTCCCCTCCCCCTGCCTTTTTAAAAAAATTGTATAGTAGATATATTCATCATTTGTAAACACAGATAAAAAAACCCCCTCAAAATGCCAGTGTCATTCCTAGGCTCAGAATTACCTCTATAAAAACCTCAATCTAATGGTATTATAAAAGTATATTGTTTCTTTGTTAGGTAGCAAGGGTAGTAGTTTTCTTCTTGTAACACAGCAACTTAGATACCATACAAAGATATTTACGTAGATTCACCAAACTGAAGGACAGCTAAGGCACAATACCTATTTCTTTATGGCCATAAAAAACAGACAAAACCATAGATAATAGATAAACTCTAGATAATTTCTGCCTATTCTTAGGATGTTACTTGTCTTTTAAGACTTGAAAGGGACATTTCATCTAATAAGTTCCAGTTCTGGACATACTGTGTTATAGTGAGCTGACACTGTTTTACCTGTGTCCTAAAGAATCAGTACATCTCATCAGAAAGGCTTATAGGAATTATCAAGACTGTCAGGACACTACAGCCACTTTATGGATGTCTTTGACTGAAGCTGCAAATATTCAACTTTGGATTAAGCATCAAAGTAATATATACATTTAATTGATTTCAGTATTTATTTAGTCTAATACTCACAGAGATATCCAGCACTGTGTGTTAGATTTGCTTATACTCACATGGAAAAGAGTTTTTCATTCAGAGAGTGCAGTACTACATTTCCAATTTTAAAGTTTTCTAAAGGTTAAAAGGTAGTTTTCAGAAAAAATAAAGCAAAGACATTATACTTAAAGACTATTTTTCCCACCTTTATATCGTTTTGCTTGCATTATACCAGAGTTTCCAGCAAAGGTTGGGAGGTGAACGGAAAATGAGGTTTTGTAGCTCCATACACTTTAATTACTAAAGTACATAAATTGTCATGATTTAGATATATGTAAAGATCCTCACTTTTCATTTTTTAGTTACTAGCCGACCTAGAAAATAGTCCAATGTTTGCAGATGACCTAGAGTGTCAGAAACTTCTTATGGAGGCTATGAAGTACCATCTTCTACCAGAAAGGCGGTCAATGATGCAGAGTCCTCGAACTAAGCCTAGAAAATCTACAGTGGGTGCACTTTATGCTGTAGGAGGTATGGATGCCACTAAAGGTAAGTTCAGAAATTAATTCCATTATATTAATTAATTGTATTACAGATGCCCAGAGAATATATGACAATTGTTTCTGTTAGGGAAATAGCTATTTAGGGATGAAAAAGAGGAAAAAAATAATCACAGAACACAAACCTATGTGCTAGATGTTCTTCTTGCAACAAATCTATGTTTGTAAATGATGTACGTACATCTTGAAGTGCAAACTAAAGAAGTTTGATTCAGATGGTGATTTTAAAAATTAATCCTTGTAAGAATTTGTGTATATAATTTGACTGTACAAATCAGAAGAAAACATTAGTATTCAAAATATTTCATGTTGTTTAATATTGGTTTAGATCCCTGTGCTGTGTTTTTCAATAAAAGTTAGATGGCATGAAAATTTTTTAAAGAATAGGAAAATATAAACCAAAAAGCATTACTGAACTATAGAGAACTCTTAGCTAAAGTTTATCAATCCTTACAATAAAACTTCACATGGAAAGACTTGCACTTTTCCATGAGTGCAACAGTATGTGCAGCTTTGTTTCAGGGCTCCATACAGTTATTTTTCAGGTTTGTAGTTGAAAGATAAATGTTATAAATGTATTCCAGTTTTTATTTGATTTTCACAACTGCAATCAGCTTACAGCTTTACACATTACACTATTCTCCTTAGTAGACACTATATTAAATCATTTTCTACAGGAACCATAACTTCAAACCCACAGCTTGGAGCCAAAGAGCTATAATTAGTTTAAAGTCTAGCGACTTGCTAAACAGTATTACTTTTAGCTGTGTGAGTTCACTTCTAATAGAATCACAAAGAAGCTAATCCATTTCATAGTTTGCAAAAGGTGCTGATGACTGATTTTTCCTATATGAGAGATCTTTCAGTGCTACCTTACTATCTTTATGCAATCAATTCAAGTGCAAAATAGACATTCATCAGCATCACATCATGAAAACCCTCATTCCGAGGACAATTTAGCACAATGAAGTTAAACTGCAGCAATTAAAACAGTTTCATTAGTGACACTTATTATTTATGAATTATGTAAAACAACAAAGAATCCAAGGTGATCCTTAAACTAACTTCTACCAAAGTAAGAATAAAAATAATGTTTTTTTCTCAGTAAAGGTTATGCAAAGAAAGGGCTATTTCAGTCAACATCTGCACTTCCTGTTGGTGCCTCTTTTACTTATTAACCTGGAAGAAAGCCAATTGTTTGAACTTTTGCCTTTTGATGGTTGGAAGAACAGCACTTCCTCTCCTCCCTGCTGTCCTCTACAGCCCTGACTCATACTTGAGCCTGAGCTGGATTGTAAGATAAAGGAAACGGCACCTAAGAGGCTGTGATGCACTGGAAGAACAGCTCTGAGAAGAGAGTTAACTACCACCTCTGGCAATAATACGCTTTCTGTGATAAAGAAAACTCTCAGGGAATGCCAGGTTTGGCTTTGCGCTTATCTCAGGTGGTATATGAAGTCAAATCTCAACTTCAAATGATCAAAAGAAGATCAAAGAGCTAGTTTGGGACTGGTATTTTGAAATATGTGAACGCACCTAAATCACATTGAATTTCAAAACCTACCTTCCAGTCTCTGTAAAAATTACAGCCTACAGGGTATGTATGAACACACTGTATACCTTAATGTATTTTACCTATTTTTTAGTGAGTGTGTGAGATATTTCTTTTGAAGCCGAGAACTCTGGGGCACTTGCATATTAGCATAGAATAAATGAGAAGAATCAAGGCAAAGAAGAGCAAACAGACTACCAAAATGGAAAGAGAAGTCAAAGAAATCCAGTTGCTCAGAATAAGACAGGAAAAGGGGAAAAGTAGAATTTCTTTCTTTTATTGCAGATGGATCTGGTAGTTTCTTTCACAGCCTAAGCATCTGGAAAAGGAGGAGAGGAGAGAAAAGATATTCCGAGATAAGCTCTTCTTTCACTAAATTTATTCAGTATAGAAGATGAGCTCTAACAGGTCTCTAAAACGAATGCTATCTTTCTTTTCTGCTTTATTGCATGGTGTTTTGCTGCTGTAACTCAGTCCTTAGCCACTCAATGCCTATTGTAATTCTCAAAATACTACTTCTCTAGTCTCAAAATCCAGTCAAGGAACAGGCAGATCAGCTGTTTTTCTTGTCTAGTTGCCTTTAGCTGAACTGAAGCTGAGCTCCAGGGTGCAGTGTGCGTGCAATTGCCTCTTCTACCTTGGTTGTTGCTCAGCCATCTCCCCGCTGTGCTAAATCAGCTCTCAAAGGAGCAATTACAGCTGCCGAGTGACTGACAGGAGCCAATGCGTGGAAAAGTGTCAGTTTTGAATAGCAGAGTGCTGGGGCCTTACGAACTGTTGCAGTAAAAACATTACTAGAAATTCAGTGACCTGAAAAAATTGAAAATACAGATGATATATTACAGCAGACAAGTAGCTATTGCAAGGCTGCTGCAGAGGTGAAGCTCGGGAGAGCTATCGGTGGGCACCAAGTGTGTACTCACACACAAGTCAATCTTCTGCCTGACTCCATCATAAAAAGGAAAATATCCTATTCATGAAGATGCAGGTCCAAGGCCTAAGACAGATTGACACTTGGATACATTTTTGAGTTTTGATATCAATAATGGTTTAAACACAAACATGGTTAAAGACTACATAGTTGTGAGGTACCATATTCATAAGGAATATAAAAAAAATAAAACAAAACGCTATAGAAACCTACCCTCATGGTATTTAAATGAGTGACAGGTTTAACTTATCTCCAAAATTTTCAGTATTGAAAAATTTCTCACATTTAATCCTGCATCTTCTTTCTCCGGTTTATTCTCATAGATTTGACAATCATGTATGTATGCAATTAATGCAGCTTTCTCACTACATTCACGTTTTGTAACTGAAGTTCTCAGGAAGTCACAGTAAAATCCACGCACACAATTTCGATGTTTTATGATTTAATCATGTTTTGTGTTGTACTGACTGCTGGGTACTGACCGGTTCATGGCTGCCTCAATGCTTATGCTTTTAACAGGTACCACTACAATTGAAAAATATGACCTTAGAACTAACAGTTGGATACAGATTGGTACTATGAATGGTAGACGATTACAGTTCGGAGTGGCAGTAATTGACAACAAGCTCTACATCGTGGGAGGAAGAGATGGACTGAAAACTTCTAATATTGTTGAATGCTTCAACCCTATCACCAAAGCTTGGACTATAATGCCTCCTATGTCAACACACAGACATGGCCTAGGTAAGAGGTGCTCACTCTTTGTAAATACATTGCATCACATACCAATGAATTTTGATTGACAAAAGCCCTGTTGACATAGCTTTGCAAAGCATTTAAGAACAGGTGGCAATATTGGTAGAAGATATTTTTCAAAAGCAGAGTCTCCTACTGTCATAATTTCATGACAGTGTTATTTATTAGTATTCACCTAACTTGCACTGGTCTTCGAGAGTTAATTTTGCTTTTAGAAAATTCCAAAATATATGCAAGATAGAAAATAATCAACTCTTCATCCAATTTAGCAGTCAAGAGATATCTTTGCAATACAATAACAATATGATTTTTTTTTTAAATTATGACTTAAATTAAGCCCATAGGTACCAAACACCTCTGAAAATCAGATCAGAGAATTACCCACACTGAAGAAAACATTGTGAGAAATAAGTACACCTTCACTAATTTTTATGTTTTAATTATAAGAAGTTTTACAGAGCTCAGCCATGGCTTAGTATCTATGGGTCTTTACTGCGCAATAATCCTTAATATGATTCACAGTGAATAAATAGTATGAATGTGAAATCTCGAATCTATAAAAAATAAGGATAAATTTACAGCTGAGGAGACTGTAAGGAAAGGAATATGATGATTTCTGAATTATTTATATTTCACAGTTCTTATGAACAAAACTGGCTTCTCTTAACTTTACAGAAACAGATATTGCTTGAAATCATTGGTAAGCTCAAATAACATGGACTGTTTTTATTCTACTGAATAATAGAAATGGATTGATCCAGAATCATTCAGTAAAACCTTGTGGCCTACACCACCTTCTCCACTGTAGGGTTCTTACCAGCTAGTCTGTCAAATTTATAAAAACAAATACTAGTAGATAACAAAGAGAAAGAAAACAAAACAGATTAAATAATTCTCATTGAAGATTTTATAATAACCACTTGTAGGGGCATAATTCTACCCAATAAATAGCTCACAGCTGTAAATTTGAGTGCGCAAAGTTAGCTTTGTATCTGTTCATCAGCCTGGTTTGCAAAGCTGCCTTAGACTTATAGCTCCTATAAGCTTCAGTGTGATTTTATGGAGAGTTAGCACTTTTGAAAAAATCAGGCCATATATATTTAGGCATGAAAAGACAGATTTAGAAAACTTTCAAGCAGTCAGATTCAAACGTTTTGCCATACCTAACAAAGGAAGCAAACAGCAGCTCCTCAAAGTAGAGGCACCAAAGCTCTTCTCTCTGGAGGACAATGACACAGGATATGTCCACACAGAGCTTTGCAGATACAGCCAATTTCACTGTCCTGTGCCTCAAGAACAACAGATACAAGAGCTGACGCTTTTATCCAAAAGCATGTTGCCCTTACGGGCATTAAAATGTTATGGTACTTCAGCTACTAAGGACAGCCAGCTAACCACCCACTCAGGCTTCATACTGGCAGGACTACAGAGCCTCAGCTGGCTCAGAATAATGATAGGTGGTTGGTTTGGGCATATTTTTCATTGCCTGGCTCAACCTTTGCCTTTCTTTGTAGAACACTGTAGACTAGCATTGTTTCTAATTTTTCTCATTAAGGGGCTCAAATTTGTTTCAGAACAATGTCAGGAGAAGTGGAAGAGAGAAAAATCCAAGAAGAGAATACCAGAACTAAAGCAGATTTCCCCTAATCTTTTAGCAGAAGACAATGTTTATTCTGAAAACTGCTGTATATGAAGCATTTTATTTGTTTATTCTGCCAAATAACAAGGCAGCTTTTAGATAGTTTAATAGCAGCTGAAATTGCTTATCTGCGTATAGGGAATTGAAGCATAAAGTTAACACACCACTGGTCACTTTAATTATTAGATATTGTAATTTGTCCCTAATTCTATCTTTTAAGGAGTAGCAATGCTTGAAGGACCAATGTATGCTGTTGGTGGCCATGATGGATGGAGTTACCTTAATACTGTGGAAAGATGGGACCCACAGGCACGGCAATGGAATTATGTTGCTAGCATGTCAACCCCTAGAAGCACCGTAGGGGTTGCAGCATTAAATAGCAAGTATGTCAACAGGAAAAACTCTCTTTGGTTTTTCATTTACTTCCTTCATTGGAAATACAGTTTCTTAAATTTTCTTTACAATCTCATAGCAAATGATCACCCCAAGAAAACAAAGAGAAAATATATACAAAAATAAGAAAGGAAGGCTTTTCCTCTGTCGTGTGGTAAATTGTTTTCAAACTTGCAGTCATGTTTTAAACATATTTCATCCCTTTCAAGTTATAGCAATTTGAAAATGTCATTACATATATATCAGAATATTAGCTAGAATATAACTTACGGAGATATAAGAACAGCTACTTTAAAAAAACACTGCAAGTTTATGTTTATATCTTAAAACCACTGTCTCTAAGGAAGAATCATTTGAAAGAATGTGTACCAGAACAAAGTCATTCCTCTGTCATTCCACACCTCCTGCGTGCGTCTACAAATTTAACATACAAGTTCACAGTCAAGAATTTTTAAAAGCTTAAAAGTATATGGTGTGTCAATGAAAGGAGGACAAGTTTAATAATTAGGTACGGAATAAACAGTCTTCTGTAATTCTTACCCTACCCAGATTTATTCTGCCTTTCATCCACTGCTTATATATACTGAGATCATGTGTTCACTGTACCTTAGTTTTCATAACAAGATTTTCAAAACTTATTTAAATATCCTCCTAAGACACTAAAGCTACTCAAGCATTTTTACATGGGAAATAACACACGCATAAATCTACTGTGTAACCTGTAGTGAAGAGTACGTTACACCTTGCTGTACATTCCTATCTGAAAGTAGCTCTGTTTCGGCCTGAGGAAGAACAATTCATAAAATAATGCCCTACAGAATTCTCTTTTCCTTCTTCAGCAACGTAGTCTGGTGCTGAAAACACAAAAGTCTTGTAAAAGGCCCCAGGTTATGTTGGAGAGCATAGCTTGAGCTAACTTTCCTTCTTATTTAAAACTGTGGAAAGCTCTTAGCAATTACAGTTTGTAGGGACTGGGAATGTTAGAGTCGTGGGCAGACAATTTCATTTACCCTGAAACTTTAACACTGTCTTCCCTGTTCACTTCTCAAATGCCAGGGAAGTGAAGGATAAAGAGCAGGATCAAAGATGTCAACAAACGGATATTTGCAAATGCAGAACTTCATCACTTATAAGTTCAGGTTTTACATTCAAACATGGCATGATTTTAATCATTAAGTCAAAAGTCCAGAGAAGCAGAACTGCTGTTCAAGTCCCTGTTGTATCTCAGAGGAAATGTTCTCAGCATAAACTTCACCAGAAACTCCTGTTGGTACCTTCCACAGTGACATGCAGGAAACCACTTTGTCAAAGAGGAAATCCAGCCTGATCCTGACTCTGTTCTCAGTCACTCCTGATACAAGCTGTCTCCAGCCAGGCTTAAGTCACGTCTGTTAGTCTAGTGATGTAATTTCTGGCATACCAGGGGAAGCCGAGATCAAATGTCCATCATTCAATGCTACTGCTGCGGTCTAACCAAGCAGAATGCTTCTCCTTTTCCTGTTTTCCTAAGTCATGCCATTTTTTTTCTATTCAACCACACCAGAAAAGGCTTTAAGTTGCTGCGAAGCAACACTTTTTGACCAATAAATGATCTATTGAAAACATCAGTCAATAGTGGTATATTTGTTCTTTTTGTCAGAAAATGGGAAACTCTACCACGTTTCTAGACTAGTTACGGAAAACAAAAAGCCCCAACCAATCTGTATATACAGTGATTTCCTCCCTCTGTGAAAGCTGTGTAAACAAGTAGTCTGTTTCTAATGGCATGATGTGAAAAGAAAACACATCAAACCTTCAAGCAACAAACTGCAGAACCAAACTGGTCTGTCTTCCATTCACAAATGTTTGAAGAGAGAGATAGAAATTTTGTATTATTCTAACAGTGGTCAAGAATTTTCTAGATAAATTATACATCAGAGTCGTCTAAAATTTTTTCCAGTCATTGGAGAAAAACAGACGCTTCTCAAGCAAAATTCAACTGATCGGTCTGAGGTGACACTCTGAACACGTCCATGTGTTCCCTAGGTGCCTAATTAGTTGCATTAATTAAATTCAAGTTCATGGCAGTAAATAATAGCCAAGATTTGAAAGGACCTGAGCAATTGGCACAATCACCATCTAAACACATCTGCTATTACTCCCAGTATGCATACTGTCATAGTCTAGTAGCATGCAAGTTAGCTTGAAATGCAAAAGAAATCCAGGCTGTGTAAAATCCATTGACAAAAGGCACGAACCCCCCATGCTTCTTAATGTGAATTTCCACCATTTCCTCTTACATCTTGTCCCAGCATCAGCTGGTTTAAATTTCCAGTTGTTTCCTAAGTGTCTTTAGGCTGAACAGACAAGATGACATATTTGTATGGTAACTTCCATCCAGCAGATTTTCTTAAACACAAACATTGAGGAAAATATATTTAATATATTTTTTCATATACTTTTGATATGTAACAAGATTATTAAAGTTCTTTTACATATTTACAGTATAGGAAAAATGCTTAGTGTGATACTAAGATGTCCGTAAGCTTGTCATAAGGAATATTATCCATATGTTTCAAACATATGTAGCACCTTTCAATTAAATTTCAACTAGAGCATATATTTAAAAACGCTGACATGCATTTTAAGCTTAATTTTCCTATGTGACTGCTTGAAAATTTACACTGTAAATAAAGAGTAACTAACTTCATATAGCATGCAAAACCCTTTATGCAAAGAAAGTTCCAGAGCGTAGCTGTCAAATAAACAAATAATGTGCATAATGATAATTTTAAAGTGATCTGAATGAAGTCAACCAAATAAAATACCTATTAAAGTGAGAGACTAAAAGTTGACATTGTCTGCCTTTCTGTGGGTAATTATCCCAGACTGTATGCTGTTGGTGGACGAGATGGCAGCTCCTGCTTAAAATCAATGGAATGTTTTGATCCACACACAAACAAGTGGAGTATATGTGCTTCAATGTCCAAGAGAAGAGGTGGTGTTGGTGTTGCAACCTACAATGGGTTTTTATATGCTGTGGGAGGTCACGATGCACCTGCTTCCAACCACTGCTCTCGACTTTCCGATTGTGTAGAAAGGTAAGGAATTTTTTTTTTTACATTCCAGGAAGGAAATATAAAATAATTTATAGCAGCTAGGGAAATCTCTTCACAATTGGAAAGTTACGTTTGTAAAATATATTATGCTTTTTAAAATATTTTGAACAAAGTAACTGATTTCCTGTGCTCTTTTGGTTACAAAACAATTAACCCTCAGAAGAAAATTCCTCCCAGCTCCCCCTTCTATTTCAGCTGCCCAGGAACCAGGTAAAGAGAACAAGAAAAACAAATTCAGCATGTGAACCTTCTATTTCTCAAGTGACCAAACCCAGGTTTGGGCTACTTGTGTCATATATTGTAGGAACTAAATGTTGTTCAGCTCTGTCTTCCTCCAATAATTTGGCTCATATTGACTAAAAGGTTAAAAATATAATAAATATAGCACACTCAATGCAGTAGTCACCACACAGGTATTTTCTGATTGAGGAGACTGGTAGAAAGAGCCTTGTTTCTGTAAGAATCTGTATTGCTATAGGAAATTGAGCTAAAACATATGCTAAGGGTCTGATTTATCAAGCAAAAAAAAAAAAAAAGGTAAATATGCAACAAAGCAAACAACTTAAGCTTAAATCCACTTTAAAAATAAACAGCACATTAATACATTAGCCTAGTGATTTTGGTAACACACAACCGTAAGCAGTGAAATCCTGGCTTTATATCAATTTCTCAAAGTAATTACCTTTAAAAATGAAAATACTGTTTATCTGATCCTTATTTAATCCCATCGTGCATTCTCCACTGATGAGCACAGTTCTTAAGAAAATGCAAATTCTGGACATTTCTTTTTCAGAAACAGAATTATTGTGTGCTGAATGTTGCTTTGCCGCTGTGGTGGCATGTGGCACAATGTAGGAGGAGGAGAGAACACTTGAGCCCAGGGTGATAAGGGCACATTAGGAGTGGGGACAACCCCTCCGGCTGTTTAATGGGCTGTGGGTGTCCATTAACACCCTTGTGTCATTTGAGGACAAGAAAGGAAAACTGAGCAAGTATTCAGCTCCCTGTTGTGAATAACAATGGCTCAGTTTTGTTCGCAGTTCGATGGTGTAAAGCTGGAACTACGCTGGCATTCACTTGGATTTATATTGGAAATTGACCGAGTACTATTGGAAATAAAGTCAACATTCGCATAAAATACTGCCGTGCATTTTGTGTTACAAACTTTTATCAACTGTATGAGATATATAACTTGGTTTACAGTGAAATATTCTGAAAACATTAGTTCTGACAAGAAAGAGAAAACAAAAGTCCTTATGGAGAAAGAAAAAAGGATATATTGAAATTAACTTTGCTGAGTCAACTGACAACTATTCTATCATTCCCTAAGGCCTCATTTATACTTAAAATGCACTGATTGTTTAATCTGATAGAAATGGAGATTGTAATCAAAAAATAAAAATATGATCATTGATGTGCTTAAAGACCCCTCTAGTGGCTAAATTATTTGTTCACTGTACTCATAATTCTCTATACTATTTAATGGTGTAAAATGAAATACAATACAGGAGAAAATAAGCAAATATCAGGAATTTGGAATGTGTTCTTACAATGTATTTTTCTGATTTTTATCGTAAAACGTCCTAGGTATGATCCTAAAACAGATGCTTGGACAACAGTGGCCCCATTGAGTGTACCTCGGGATGCTGTGGGAATTTGTCCCCTTGGGGACAGATTATATGCTGTTGGGGGCTATGATGGCCATACGTATCTGGATACTGTGGAGTCCTATGATGCTCAAAATAACGAGTGGACAGAGGTAATAGGAAGAATTGCCTAATAAATAATAGGAATTACTCCTGTGGATAGGAAGAATTGTCTGAATAATGGACAAAAAGTGATTATATTGCAAATTTATATCACTGGTTGTGTGAAAAATGATATATTAGGATGCAATAATCCTGTAGTTGGGCTTGTATAGAACGTTGGTTGCCTCTCCTGTGAAATAACTGTATACGATTTTTCAGACTAAAGGGTGGAGGCTGTGCATGGGCAAGTGAGCCAAGTTGCACAAAGAATTTTGTGCTGGAAGTGCTTAAATTTGCCGTTGTTCACGCTGGCATGCCTTTGCCAGCAATGCCCTCTACTGGAGGCACCTTCAGGTTTTCATATTTATGACCATCACCATCGAGACTGAGAGGAAATGTTTAAAACTGTCTCAATCCTTTTGTAGTCACACAGCCTGCACTTTAGGAACAGAGGATATGAAGGTCTTTTTACCAAAGTTAAGAGCAGCGGCACCAGCCTACACTCCTGTAACTCTCAGCAGCTGCTAAAGTCTTTTCCCAAAAAGTCAAAACTCTTCTCAGAGCCCTCGTTTAATCTATTTTTTTAGCAGTGCAATTGTTTGAATAAACAAATTGCTTTTCCTTTAATCTGCAAATAATTTCTTGCAGACCTACCCATAAGAGTGTACTAAAAATGTTTCTTCTTTTTTTTTTTTTTCTTTTTTCCCCCTTTTTTAGGAAGTTCCTGTCAATATTGGAAGGGCTGGAGCATGTGTTGTTGTTGTGAAGTTGCCCTGAGGACTATAAATATTGCGAAACTTAACTGCGTGGAGTTTTGTTAAGACTAAGTCAGGAAAATGAGAAACACCTCGAGAAAGCAGTACAGACTTCTTAGCACTCCTCCATTATAGGGAATACTTATTTCCGCACCACCATGCTATTAGAGCACAAAAGTGTCTTCCTGCATTATAAAAATGTCAGAATTTTGCATAAGTGAATTATTTTATTATGCCTAATACATAAAAATTCAATAATATGTTTAAATGGTTCAGGTTTGTTACAAACGTGTCTGTTATTTATAAAATACAACAGTAAAGTGACAAACGGGTGTATAAGATTTCAGAAACTTTTTTCTTTTCTATGTTGGCAGTAATGCTAATGTTTGTAAGAAGAGCTTTTATATTTTAAGTAAATGAAAACGAATGAGAGAAACACCTTCAACAGAGAACTGCACAGATGGAAATAGTTGTCCATGAATATTACTGGCAACAGAATATTCTCTGCAGAAGTAACTTCGTTTCTATATTCAGAAATGAAGTTACTAAATTAACTTTAAAATCAAAACAGAGCATAGAATTTTGCTGCTGTTCAACCTCCAGCATTGACAGTACTGTGACAGAAGACCCATTTTTAGCAGCATATTAGATTGAATAGTGCAAGTTAAGAAATAGTAGGACTAAAGTATCTTTATGTCATTAAGTATGTGCCAAAAGAAAGATATCTCTTTTGTCAAAACACAGTGCTAATATAATTTGTAATCATTTTCACAGTGCATAGATACGTGATATTTTAATATGTGTCAGATTATTCATGGATTTGTCTTTGCCCACTAGCCATCTGTCAGTATGCGTTAAACTAATTTGACTATTCTTGGGATAATCACAATACATTAAAATTTTTTAAAAATCATATAATTAAATTCCTAGAATATAACTTACGAAATTCAATTTTTATATCATATTGATATGACAATCTTTGACCTCAGCTGAAGATTAGCAGCTTTCTCTCATGTACAGCAGAAATATAGTAAGAAAAATCCCACATCCACTTTGTAATGTTATATACCATTTATATAAGCATGTTTATGTTTTATTTGAAATTAAGGGAATGCTAAGAATCAAGAATAAACAGGAAAAGAATCACCTGAAACAGCACATAATCCACATGCATGACATGTTGTTTTTTGTGTGCCAATTTCTAATTTCTAATGAAGGTTTTGCTTTATTTTGCATTAATTTCATTTTATATTTTATAATTTCAAATGCTGAAAGTGTATTTTAGAAAAAGAATGTATGTAAGATATTCTATGCTGTAAAGCACAATAACTGGACAGTATCTACTTCCGTGTTTGTTTTGCTGTTGTTTCTCAGTATCAGAAAATTCAGGAGAGATGAAAATTCTCTGAACATGTAGACTAACCTTCTGTGTTTTCAAAATTTAGCGATATGCTATTTAAAAAAAAGTATTACTATATTATAGTATTACTCCTATTAAATGCTCTAAAGATGAAAACTAATAAGCATATTTATAAAAGGAAAAACATTTTTATCTTTAAAAAAACATTATGTTTATATATAGCATGCTATATTCAAATAAACTTTACTTTCTCTGCTAAGATAGTGCAGACCATACTTTAACAACTTTGTGGTTTTTATTTTACATCTTTTCAAGAGTAGAAAACACACAAGTATCAATCTCATTTTTGTACTCTAAAAGAACAAAATATCCTGTCTCAGTGTCCCCATACCATCTGTTCCACATAAACTAAAATTCACCTTCCTTCTAGCATTTCTTTTTAGATGAACTTCTTTTTCATTCTCTGAGTCAAAAATACTTATCAATACTGTCACGATGCCCTTTCTATGAAAGGGGCTCACACACCCCAGCCCTTTGCAATCTGAGTTGACAGCACATTTTAAGATGTTTCTTTCTGGGATGATTGCATGAGGCTGCCCTACAACAGAAACCTATCAGTGCATCAGCTCAGAACTACCTTCATTTAGCTGTGACTTTCTAGACCAACACACTAGCTAGCTTGCTGGGCCACAGGACACTTTATTTCGTGACTATTTTAATTTTGTATCTATTTTTGTGGAGGAGGAAAAAAACCCCAAAACTCCAGAAAAAAAACCCCTACCAACCCAAACCAACACAAAGAGTGAAGATAATGGGGAACAAACCCTAAACCAGCTAGTGGGTCATGTGGTTAGACAAATCACATCAGAAGAGGCAGGGTTTTTATTTCCCATTGAAACAATAATCTCAAGAAAATGTGAGGGGCTAACCGCCAAGCTTGACAGTAAATATGCATAGCAAGGCATTTGGCATGGAATTTGAAGTTTGTTTGGGGTGAAACACATCACACAGCCTCAAGTGAGAGAAAGCAGGCATGGGTACTTATCTAATCCAGTCTGCAATAAGGGGAGAAAATGAAGACTTGAGCATAGAAGAGTTTGCAGAACAGAAACTGGGTGAATACCTTAATGCAAACACACAGGACCAGCCTTTGAGAACGGTGTGGCTTGCAAATGTTACAACCCCAGAGATGACAAACTGTTCACCTGCCTTTGTCCTCTCCTTCAGCTTGCAAATTTTATTATAAGTTTTATCAGTAAACAAGGAAGGAGACACTTAGGAAAAGCACCTAGATATAAACAATCCCCTTAAATATATCTTAAATATACTACCATTTACATAGTTTAATAAAGTCTCAAAGAGATTAGTAGAAGAAAATTACACTTTCTGAATTTCTTACTCTTATCTAAGGAAATCATGTCATGACATTTACTTATTTGAAAAATAGCATAAGAAAGAAAAATTGTAGCATTCTTTTAGCTTGCAGCGTGCAGCTACGTTTATCGGTACATTCAATAGCTCTTACTACAATAAACCACAACCAGTGAGAGAGTATGGGAATATTTGCATGTGTGTATTATGTGATGAGACAATCTTTTAATCTCAATGGCAAGGCATGGTAACTAGCACACTTTCTAAATTTTAAATTTTAAGGCTGTATCTTCTTATAGAAACAACACAAAGATAAATACAGTTAAGGGGAAATGGGGAAAGATGGGAAGGGTATGAAGCAGAGAAAAGTCAGAGAGCAATCTGAATGTATCCTTGTCAGCTTGGGGGAAGAATGGATTTAAAACCACGTTTGAAGAGCTGATTCTGCATGTCTCTCTCCTTGACTGAAAACTCAGGCTTCAACCTCTTTATGGAGAGGAGGTGGTGAGAGCTCTGCTGCTAAGGTGCCGTGAAAAGTAGAAGTAATAAAGTTTGTTTCTTTACACTGAGTACTCTCATGTGCAACTGTACAGCTGGGAATCAGGTTGTGCTCAGGCATATGACCTGGTTTGGAGAGGTTGATATTAAAGTTAATTTCAACTTTAAAAGAATAAGAGTAAAATTACGCACTCACATCCTGAACTAATTTCAGAATAATCTATTTTAGGATAAAATGATGCCAAGAATTATCGTGAGATTAATATCTTAAGTGCTAGAAAACATCAAAATGCAATTTCAGCAGATACTTGAATTCAAGCAACAAAATGGTACGAGTGAATTTTCTAGAGAAAGCAGTTTCTCAGTGTTTTAATACTAAAGTTCAAGTTTTTTCTTCCACATTATTTGTTCAGCAGAGAAAAATCATGTGAAAGGAAACTGGCAATTCACAGAAGGAAATTCGACACCTAACAGGAAGACAGAAGAAAAGCAGACTGGAGAGAATTTGGGGATGTTTAGACATTATTAGGTGAGAGGAAATACTAGAGATGCTCCCTGATGAGGTGTCATCCCTTCACGTTTCCTCTCTTTCTCCAAACATGAGTAGGTGCAATAGTTATGCAGCATCTTTGCTTGTTAGGTACCCTGACAGCTGCACGCACAGCTGGCTCACTTGCACACTGTGGGAAGGAGCCATCCTCTCTTATCTCTGACCCTGTACTGCTCTGTCCTTTTTGTTACGACTCTCCCTGGCAGAATGGTTATTATTTGTGCTATTTCTTTTTTTCCCAAATCATTGTGTTTTTTTCCTTTTAAGCCCTGGTCCTTAAACTGCTTTTTTCATCTTTGGACTGGGTGATAATCTTTACATGAACTGGACAAATAACGATGTGTTATATAATGTAATGTATGGGAACCAGGGACACCACTTACCCCAAGAAGTCAATTCTGGGAAACACTGAAGTTTCAGCTTAACCACTAGCATGACTCTATCTACCAGTAGGAGATATTTAGGCAAAGAGCATAAGAACCAACTAGCCCAGAAAAATCCCTGCCATTATTTGACAATGTGACTTTCAGTAATGTAACTGCATTACAGGAGCATTCATCTTCATAACACATCTACAAGGTAGGAAAGCAATACTACAGCTATTTACAACTGTCACAGAAAAAAGAAATTATTTCCCTGATGCCACAGTAAAAAAAACCCAAAAAACCCATGGTGGGGGGAAAAAAAATCAAGGGAAGCTTTTAGGCCCAGTTATTTCAACACCCAGGTTAGTTAATAGGCTAATCTGTTTCAGACAGTATCTCCACCGAGCCAACCAGGTTCATAGAGTTTTGAAACTTATCTGAGCTACCAATTCAACTAGTTCATGCTGCCTTCTTGGTTGAGGAACTTACAAAACCAGTTTTTCAACAGTACATGCTGAATTGGTTGCAGGCTGAAAATAAATCTTTTAACATAAAAGGAGACAAATAGTTCTGCATGCCTGGAGGAACATCCAGGGTAATTTCCTTGAAGTGAATCAATGAAGTGTCATGTGAGGCTAATCCTATCTCTTTCTACATACATATTTCTGTACATGGTTATTGTACAATGTAATTTTTTTGCTTCCCACCTGACCCTAGACTCATTCAGAGATCGGATGTATAACGCTAAATATATTTCAAGTATCTCAGCTTCAGTACCTGGCTCCTCAAAAGTAGAATCCTGCAATGAAATTAGCTCATTTTCTCTGACCCTGGAAATTATAAAAAATTGCATGCTGAATAAACAGCAATGAATTTATTTGCATATTTCTGCATAGGGAAATTACATTTTATTGGTTAGAATTAATTCCTGAAGAGA